ACACCAAAATCATATGTGTATACTCCACAACAACATAGTGTTGTGTAGAGGAAACAAAAACAGATTCTACAAGTGGCTAGAGCCCTTATTTTCCAATCGGGGTTGCCTAAAATTTTTTTGGGGAGACTCTGTCTTAACAACCACTTATTTGGTAAATCGGTTACCTTATACTGTTTTTGAAGGGAAAAATCCTTATAAAATCTTGTTTTCAAAAACACCTGATTATACTCATTTAAAATCTTTTGGTTGTTTGTGTTTTGCAACCAATACTATCCATCATAAGGCCAAGTTTGATGCCAGAGCCACTATAGCTATCTTTGTAGGTTATCCACATTGTCAAAAGGAGTATAAATTGTATGATCCAGACACTAAAAAGGTGTTCATTTCCAGGAATGTTGTTTTTCATGAAATAATTTTTCCTTATAAAACCAAAAAATCCACAGTTTCTTTGTCAATTTATCCTCCATATATCATGAAGATACCGGACCAATTCCAGTATCTCCATAGTCTTCAACTTCTATTTCTGAACAATTTCCATCAGTCCAATACTATCCATCACAATCAGGATTTTATTCTTGATCCTCCATCAACTGGACCTCTTAGAACAAGCTCTAGAATCTCTGCTAAACCTGTCTAGATGAAAGACTATGTGTCTCAACATGTGAGGAGGAAACCAACTGCTTCACAGTTGCATGCATCCAATGCACTAGTTCATCATGACTGTAATGAACCATATAGTCATCAACCAATTTTTTCTGCTGAATACATGTCTTTTCTCGCACAAATTGACAGTATTCAAGAACCTAAAAGCTATTCACAAGTCATAAATTGTCTCGAATGGATAATAGCTATGAATAAGGAACTGAGTGCTCATTCATGCTAGCACCATCTTTGTACCTACAAAGCCTGCACCTCATCATCCAACTTTAAACCTACATTCACAGCTTGGTTCAACAAACCCTGAAACGAACTCAAGTGCTCATTCATGCTAGCACCATCTTTGTATCTCAACCTGGTAATCTGTTTCAGCGCAGATGACTTATTGATGCCGGACTTCTTCCAGTACATATTCTGGATTTTTTTCCCAAAGTTCATCAGCTTTTGTTTCTCCCGAAAAGTGATGAAACACACTTTGATCAATCCACTGTCGAATATTACCAACAGTCTTCCTATGCATATCAGCCCACTTTTTATCAGTCATATCACTTGGCCTACCTTTATCCCCTAGAACAGGATCAAACAAATCTTTGCAATACAACAAGTCTTCCATTCTAGGCTTCCACATATGATAATTGGATGAAGTCAATTTAATCATCGTACCAGTACCCGATGACTCTTCTATTTTATTGGTGTTACACCTCAACTACAGAACCGTAGCTCTGATACCACTGTTGTGGCGGAAAGGGTATAAATACAACACACCTCGGAAGCGAATCCCAAGAAAATCTCCTTTCCTACTACCAATAAAATAGGACAACCACCCAAACAAGAAACTGATTCAAGAACTGATAAAATAAAGGAGGCATGCGAATTTACGTGGAAACCCAAATCGGGAAAAACTACGGGACTGTAACAACAGTCAAATCTCTTCTATCACAATAATGGGAAAACAGTCTTCACCGACTGGTGGATACATAGGACTTCACCCAAAGGTGGATTACAACAATACTCTTCCACACACACCTATCACAAAATAGGACTGGAAGGATCTAACCAAAAGAGAGTTAAACCGAAAACTAAACCCTAGCTTTCTTTCTTTTTCTCTCGTACAAAAACAATGCACAGCTGCCCAAGTTTTCCTTTTTTTCTTGGCTGAAAACACACATCTAAAAATTATGCCAAAACCTTGCTTTTATAGAGCAAAAAAACCTAAAAAACAAAAACCCAAAAACCCAATTGGAGTGGGTTTTGTTCCTAAAACCAAATTGATTTGGTTTCAATCACTGCTGGGCCCAATTTAAGGGGAACTCGGGCCCAAATCATTACTTTCCGGTTTTGTATTTTTGAAACCAACTATTTTTAATAAAATTAATAAACCGTTTATAAAACCAAACCACTGAACTGTTTGGGCAGTTTTGACCGGTATGAACCAATCTAGACACACCCTAAAAATCAAAAATATGGCTATAGAACAGTTTGCACGACATATTACATGTGATATCATAGGAGAAAATTCCAATTTGATTAGATAACTAAGACGCGGTACATATATTGTATTCTTAAATGTATCAGAATACCTTACTTTTAAAATTTTTTTTATTTATACAAACTTTTATTTGTTTGCATTTTTTTATGGTTTTTTCAGATTATTTTAATAATAATTGTCCCATTTCAGCATAACTTTTTACATTTTCAACACACCTTTTTACATTCCTAATAGAAAAAATACCTAAAAACACACACTAAAAAAATGAAACAAATATGGTTTTCTGGCCATTGAATAGGTTAGTTTGATGATTATGTGGATTGCCATATGTCAATCACTAGAGAAGATACAATTGAAAGAACTGTATTTCTTTTCTTATATAATGTTAGAAGATAGATATAGATTCATTTGAAGACCTGAATATACTCTCTTGTCGACTAAGCCCTTATCGAAAAATACCACTATATTATGAGGTGGAATAGAGTGTCATTCATCAACATCTCCTCGAGTTGAGTTGTAACAATGAACATGACACACTCTCCGTATCGGAAAAAATAAAAGTCATATTTGTTATACATACTATTATACGGAGGGAGTTAAAAATTTACCTGACATTTGAAGAAATTCTTGGCGAAGTTGACTCCTGTAGGGGAATCTTTATAATGGGAGGATCTTCTTCAATCTTCACATACCATACTCTACATGCATATAGACAACTGTAACAGATAAATATAAATCTAAAAGAGGAGCTCCTTTTCATTTTGTAGAAAATTAAATCAGTTGATTGAATGGTATATGCTCTTTTTCGGATTAGCATCACTGGAAAAAAAAGGCTACCCATATTCTTCAACAAGCATATAATCTTCTTCACTATCATGTACAGCAGATTTCCCTTATCATTCTGACATTTCTGTTTTCTTTTCCTTTTTTTTTTTTTTTGGAAGGAACTTTTTATTTGGTGTCTGATCCACCAACATTGAGTGCACTTGTCACCCTTAAAACAGCATAAAGGTAAGATCATTATTCTGATGTGAATCAGCTATGGCAAATGGGAATGGCTTAGCTATCATGTTGCTGTGGACTTCCATTTAGGTCTGTGGTACTTGCAGCAGCCACATGGTTCCATATATTCTACTCCCTCTGTCCCCAAAAAAAAAAAAAAAGGTAACATTGAGTTTTCAGATTTGTATTGTTTTTATTACAAATTCCAAAACTCAATGTGGACAATCTTTTTGGGGATAGAGGTAGTATATAAAAGTCTCATACTCTAAGAAGGTGGGATTATTTCTGATATAAAGGTATTATTTCTAATTTTCTACAACCTTTGCAACTTTACTTCCTTGTACTGCCTCCTAAACTAGGATTGTTTCGGTACTACCTTGTTTAGTTATAGTACAATACACTCTCTGTCCTAGAAAAATAGAGTTTATGTTAATTGTATTCTCGTGTACTACTTCAACAAATGGCGCTCTAATTTTTGGGATATAGAGAGTTATAAAAGAGGCTCTAATTTCAGTTCACTTTTTCTCTATTGTGTCATCATCTGGCTGACATTTCAAGCATTCCATGACAGCATTGACTCCTGATCTGGAATCTTTATAATGCATGGGAGGATCTTCTTCATTGATCACATGTTTGTTGGGCTCTATTCTTGCAGTACTGTAACAGATAAAAAGGAAGAAGAGTTTTTTTTTTTTTTTTTTTTTTTTTTCATTTTACAGAAAACAGAGCACTTGATTGAATGAAAGCTTTCTGGATTACTATCAGGTAAAAAGCAAACCACATTCATTGGTTCCTTAGTATAGATAGTCATCAATAGCATAATTTTCTTTTGTGTCATATGGAGAAAAATAATTTCCATTATCATTCTGACAATTATTTTTTGGAGTTCCATTTGGTGTCTGATCCACCAACATTGAGTGCCTCTGTCACCCTTAAAGCAACATAAAAGTAAGATCATTTTTCTGATGGATGACAACTCCAGAAAGTTAAGATATGCTCACTCTGTCCTTCCATTATCATTAATAGCACTGCGAGATACTTAACAGGTACCGCCCTGGTTCTGCTAATAAAAAAAAAAAAAAAACTCACTTCGTCCAATAAAATGGTCTATATATGAAGGTACCAAATACTGTAAAACGTTTGTTACTCATTTTATTGTAAGAATACTGTTTGAAAAGAGCCTTTAAAAGTGGACTATTAAAATGAAACGGATGGAGTATAATATTGTACTCCAAATATCAGTTTCATGACAAGTGCAAATGGTAGTCAATGGTAGCTATTATGTTTCTGTGGAAGTGGTGCTTGACATCATTGTAAATGAGGACTTCTTTTAGGGTACATGCAGCAGCCGCATGGTTCGAGAGTTTTAGCTTTGATAAGTTGACTTAGAAACAACTGGCTCCATTTCGCTGAGATAGTTCTGATTCGAAAGACAAGTGGTTTTCAATCCTCAAATTTTCGTGGTTCAAACAGTTAAAGCATTACCAAAAGTTCCCCAACATTTTTAGGCCATCATTAATATTAAGATGATATAGTTTTTGAAGTATAATATGATCTAATTGTTGAAAGTAAACTTCTCTCACTATGATTTTTTTTTCTTAATATATTGGAAGGAAGACCTCATGATCCATAACCGATCTACCATACCGAAAAGAGTACTGAGAATGAATATGAGATTAATATGCGATATGTACAAAAACAGCTACACATGGAGAATCTGAGGACCGAGTGATAGCGGAACACCTAAATGTCACATTGTATATCGAAGACGCTTCGCGAAAGCTAGCCATTTCACCTTCAACTGTTCGGTGCAATGTCGAAACTCGAAACAAATAAAAATAACAAAATGAAAGGGAAGAGAAAGCTGGGTGGTGGATAGTCAATATGGTTAACTTTCCGGTAAATATGCAACCTCAAAGCAGGCCCTGCAATTATCATTTCAGCTGGTCTAGATTTGTTCACTCTTCAAGTGAGTTTGATAAATTGTGTTTGTTTTAAGTGATCAAGAACCACAAATTTAAGAGTAAACACTAATCAAAGTTCCTATATTTTCCAACACTTCCATAAACATCTTTCCATCTACACATATGTTAACATTAAATCTTAAATTTTGCTAGCTAGTTGAACAATCTGAACTACTACTTCCAGCCATCCTCCTCACTATACACTTACATTTTCAGAGAAGGCATAATTAACAAATATGGGACTTCAATTCATCATTAATCAACACTAATTTCTGCTAACCATCTATTGCTTTTCAAGCTCCTTCAGCTGCTTTGGTAGAAATCCGCGGCCGACTAGCAATCTGCTGCGATTCAAAATTTCTTGGCTTTTGCTCAAGAATGCTTCTTTCTTTCCCATTTTGTGGCAATTTTGCAAGCATTTTTTTTCATAAAACTGACAACCCTTTTTGGAAAATTCTCTGGCCAGGAGCAAGGATTGCTAAAGGGTCATATGTTAATTTCCTCTGCACGAAGACTTGCCAACGTTGTTGACCAAAATGGTCCTGCCATTGTTCTTGCGTGTTATAAAGACCAAGATATTGCTTGACTCGAAGGCGGGCCCCTTCACAGAAATCTAGAATTCTTTTGTTCAAACTTAAGAAGTATTCTAAGCCATCAGTAGTTGTTGCATGGAAAAGGATTGCCACCATGTAGAAAATATCTCCTTCTTCTTCTTCTTCTGGAAGAACAAATGAAGTTCTATTGTCCCACCTGGAAAGAATTATGAACAGAACAGTTAAGACCCTTTTGAAAATTTTTTATCTGAGATTAATTTCTGAGGAATGATGATGATAATGAAATGTTGTTTACTTTGATTTGTTGACTGGGTAGATGAGCACAGGGCCATTACTTGTGTTTTTGAGAATGTTGCCAAAAACTCCTTGAGCAAAAAGTTTGATCTTGCTCCTTGGAATCAGAAGATTTAGCCAGGGGTGTGGAATATCCCATAACCCTTTTGATCTAAGTTTTAATTCGGATGTATGAACTCGATCCAGGAATTCGACGTAAGAGATTTCTGACATGAAAAGCGTCGACCTGATGTAACTCAATGGTGATAGTAAGCCTTCAATGTCCTGCATTTTGAATAAGCAAAATTATCAGATTTTGTCAACAAGGGATGATCAATTAAGTAATGAAAGAGATATATCTTTACCTGGTTTATAGTATCCGCCTTGTTGTCAGGATTGAAATTTTTGGCCAACTCAAGGCAGTACAGTATTCTTCCATCTGATATGAATTTGCTGGCTTCAATTGGATCATCTGGAGTGAAGGATAATCTCCAGTTATTAAGAACATCAGTCCGGTTAATATACACAAAGCCTTCAATGTAATCAAATGTGTTCTCAGCTGATATCAAATATTCCTGGTCTCGGGTAAATGCAGAGAAATCCGAATACAGCACCCGGATCCATTTCACCTATCATACATTTTGAACAGAACAATCAATCAATCCATGAACTCGAGAATGGCGCCTTTATTTTTGAAGGATGGCGCGAAAAAATCGTGATATAGCATTGTATTATTACCATCTTTGGTGCTGGTTCCAGTGATATTCTAGCTTTAGTTATTATGCCAAATTGTCCGAGTCCTCCAAGAACACCATGAAACAGGTCAGCATTCTGTTTTTCTGAGCAGTTGATTACTTCTCCCTTTCCTGCAATCAGTTCAGTTCTCATTCTTGTCAGTAATTTGATAAAGAACAGAGCAAATACTACCAAAATTTTCAGATCATTAAGTATACAACTGATCATAACTAGCCAATAGGACTAATTTTTGTTAAAAAAAAAAAAAAAACACGAGTATTATTTTGAGACGAAGAAAACTCTGGCATTGGTCATTTTGAACAATCTGCATTGTAAGATCTCGTACACACAAACCTGTAACAACCTCAAGCTGGTAGACATTACTGATCTGGGGGCCATGGCGAAATGCTTGGCCGCTTATCCCGCCGTTGGACAGAGTACCTCCTACTGTAAGATGAAGGTAATCTGTCCAGGACTTTGGGGCTAATCCATACTTTAAGCTTTCATGCAAGATATTAATCCACAATTCGCCGGCAGAGACGTCAACAAAAGGGAATCTTCCGGTGCTAAATCGCATTTCGGGTTCCCTGAGAGACCTCATATTGATCACAATTCCCTGATCAGCTTGTGATTGACCCCTGGTGGAATGACCATGGCCCCTGGCTGCAACTGTGAGCTTTGAAAAAGGCCCCATATCCCAAATATGTTTGATGGTTGTGGAAATATCAGAAACTGATTTCGGATGCAGAACTGCCAGGGGAAGGAAATGGTATCGATTCCCGAAGTCTTTTGCAGCGAATTCATTCTCACTGAAGCTGAAATTCCCTTCAAGAGGCAACTCTTGCAATGAGGATTGGAAACTTGAGAAACAGAAATCAACTCTAATGGTTGCACAACTGAATAACAAAATCAGGATTGTTCGTATGAAAAGAATGTTGTTATGTTGCGAGAAGTTCAAAGAAAAAGATGGGAATTTCATGGTTTGTTTGGTTTTCTGTGTGATCAAGAAAGAAGAAGAAGAAGAAGAAGAGAACAAAGTGCGTAGAGAAGCCAAGGTTGAAGAAATGAGGAGGGAATTTAAAGAGAGAGACTTGAGTGGCTGAGTCAACATATCTTCAGTTTCAAGAATCCGTATGAAGACTGACTTCTTAATTTGGTGCGGGATAGGAGTTTGATGGCTCTCTTTTTTAGCTCCCATCTTTTTTTTTTTTTTTAAAAAAAATTCCTTTTTAGTTTCCAAATTAAAGCAATCAAATAACGCAAGTTGAAAGGTGGAAGGAGAAAAAAAAAGTTGTAAGCAAGAAAGATTTCACAAATCTTAGCACCTTTTTCATACAGTGTCAAAACTACATTTTACAGGAATCATGAAGTGTATTAAACGATGGATCGTAATCATCTTCAGACTAATATTAACTTTGCTCAAAATGATACCCGCTTATTAAAATGCAGACACGTAAAACTCAAAAAACAGACACGTAATTTTATTTAAAGGGTACTAAAAGTGGTAATTGAATGATATGTTAGTGGTTCGGTTGCTGTCCTTCCTAGTCATAAATCCAGATTCAATTTCCACTAGGGATTGTAAGAGAGGTTTTACCCATATTTAAGTGAGGGTTCACTGGAGTGGATTTTTTTTAAAGGGTATTAAAACTCTTAAATGCTCGGTCTAAGAAGTGTATTGTGTTATCAACTTTTTTTAATTTTTTTTTCTTAAATAGCCCATGGAAGACAATGATGTCGAATGTCGAATGGTCCTAATTAATTTAAGTTCTCATTTACCACGTTTAAGGATGAGCTGTGCCCATTTATAGTAAAGGGTGTAGAGAAAGTGCACCTCTCTCTTTCCCCCCTAAAAGAGTCACTATTCTATTATATTCTCTCTTCTCCTTCTCCCTGTCCTGTGGCTGAAAATTGTGCCTTAGTTTTGCTCTGATTTGATGATTTTATTCCCTGAAACTCTGATACCATTGTTGTTGAAAAGCAAACATTGCGTATCTAGTTTAAGATTGGATGAGAAGGACTTGCTGACCAGAAGTTGATCGTTTTGCAGGAAATGGTCTCAATGGGTCCATGAGACACGTGAATTTCCAAACTAAAAAAAAAAAGAAAAAAGAAGGGGGAAAAAGAAAATAAATAAATAAAAAAATAAAAGTTGGTGTTTGGTCTTAGTGGAGAAGGAAAGAGTTATAATTTGATGTGTTTGGGGGACCTCTTTGTGGCCATCAATGTCCCTCAAGTCAAGAGGTCGAATATTCGACTTAGGAAAGACACTTGGAATATATGAGGAAACTTATATTTACATTTTGAGTATGTTTATGAGGCCTTAAAATATTTTTAACGGACACATATCATACGAAAGTTCGGCTTAGAAAGAGCACTTGGACGAAGTAAAGAAACTTTACTAAACCCTAATTGAACTTTTTGGAGGCAAAATTCCATCAACGGTTTTTCTTTTTCTTCCTTATTATTAACTATTTGTCATACTCAAATACTATGACACTTCGTTCAGAGGATATTGAAATCTTTATCACTTGAAAAGTTCAAAAATGTAATGTCAAATATGTGTATTGTGATGATAATCTTTTACATTTTTTACACGATTGTACATGATACATCTATTAAGCGTGATTTTTCTTTTTAAAACGAAAAGAATACCTTGTCTAGATTTCGCTTTCTGATGACTCTCAAGTGAACAAAGGCGGGGGAATCTAGTGTGTGTGATTCCGCTGTTAGGCCGCGTCATCATACCACTTTTCTGCGTAGATCTTTAGTTGGCATCCAATATTTTTTTGCAAGTTTGATGTAAACACTCTTTACTTCTGCACGGTTGAAAATATGCCCGAAATGGCTCTGAAATCCGAACCAATTTAGTATTTAGAAGGAAAAAAAAAGAGGCCTTCTTTTGTACTGCTTTTTGAGAACTTTGGATTTGATTCTGTGGTTCGTTCTTTCAGGAGCCATCATTTTCTTTTTGAAAGTGGTGTAATTGAACTGTTTCAAGGTCTACGGTGCAATATACTTCGAAGTCAGATGTTTAAGAATAATAATGATACAATTATTAAGTTTATGTATTTTTAGCCTAAAGGAGTTGGTACTTCGTGATCATGTCCCGATACTCATGATGCCCACCATACTTTTATGATCATAGTTCATGAATAGAGTATCCTTACGATAATTTTTTAGTAATGTTATAGCATTTCTAAATTGTTGGGAAACTATGATATATTCTTTTCAAGACGGAAGCAATAAAACTATAACATAGATTTATTAGCACTTCTAAAATTGTTGGAAAATTTTATGGTTTTCTAAAATATGTATGATAAAATTATCATTTCCAACCGAAATTTCGTAGTGCAGTTACATTAAATTAAAGAAATAGTAGTAAACCTGACATTCAAACATTCGATCATCATTAACAAAAAGTGAATAAGAACTTTCGAAATATAGAGTGATATGGATATACAGCTTCAAGTCGCATGATATATAGTTTTTCTTTGGTTAGGGACAAAAATTGAGAACTTATGTTCCTCGTACAGTAGATTCTCAATTTCAGTAATCCTTCATTAACTTCAGCAACAAATTAGTTGTGATTAAGCCATTTTCTTTAACCAAAAAAAAAAAAAAAAACTTTGAATGGCAGATGACACAGTGTTAATAGATTAGACTAGAAAGTGATTACATATAGTAAAAATTTGTTGACACGCACTAGAATCTAAATAGTTCATCATAAATAGGTCTGAAATAAGAGTAACAATAAAGTAAATATTAAAATTAGTAAATATAAACAAATTTAGAAAATCTAAAAGTTTTAAATTTTTATAATTTATTATAGAATAAACTAGAAATATTGATGAAGATAAATACAACTGAACTTAGACAGATTGAAACAAAAATGACAGAGTGCATTGTTGATAGTTTATCATAAGGTACTACTAAGTTTGAAAGAAAAGCTCTATCGAATTATCATTTGACAATACTTAACGAATATGAGAGTTGAGTCACTAAAAGTGGGGGAAAAAAATAGATAGAGCTGATGAAAATATTGAGATGTGGATATGTTGGCCTATTAAGTTAGATTAAAATAAAAAATAAGGTCAGAAAAATGAGGAAATCACATCTAACATGATTTGGACATGTGATAGAAAACTTGTTGATGCCCTAGTTAGAAGGATAGGAATCATAGAATCATTAATTCAAAATAAAACGGTATGTAAACCTAAATTTTTTTTTGGAAAGAAACTATTAAAAAAATAAAATATTTAAATTTCAAAAAAAATATTCCTTACGATCCTTAATATAAGACATTTTGATTTGTCTTAGGTTTCACTTAGTATGTAATTTTAATTGATAAAAAAATTCTTAAAATTATATCTTCACGTTAGTTGTGTTCTCTTGATTGTTATGAAATATTTTTAAGTTTTTTTTTGCCAATTAAAAATACATATCAGATAAAACTTAGAACAAATCAAAATACCTTATATTAAGTATATGAGGGAGTTTGAGTACAATAGTGCATGTGATACGCGTATCTAGTACACCAACACTTGCATTTGAATACTATGAAACTAGATTTGCCAATTTTTAATTATTTCTCTTTCTTTTCACTCAATAATTAGTATGTACCCCGTGCGTTGTACGACGGGATTAAGATATTATTATATTAAAATTTTGCATCATATAATATGTAGTTAAAAGATAGAGATTCTGAAACATATTCTGAAAATCACAAAAAAATAAAATAAAAAATCAAATTATCAAAACAACAAAACTATAAAATTTTGTTATTCATTGTACATTTTACCCTTAAAAACTTAATAGTGGGTTGCTAAAGGTAAAAAAAAAAAAATCAAATGATCAAAACAACAAAACTATAAAAGTCTTGTTTGGAAGCGTTGCTAAAATTATTGAAAAAAATCTCCTTATATACTGACCCATAATATATTTCTATCAATGTATTTAGTAATAAGCCGTGATCATGTAAAAACATATCAATCGAAAAAAAAGATGGAAAATTAAAAAAAAATCGCATTTGAGTTGGCTCCACGAACAAATCAAGAAAAGTAAAGATTAATAAAGACGTTTCATACTTTGCTTTCTTCAAGACTGAACCATCGCACATTTTGTTTCCAATTCAAACCTAATATGCAATTAATAAAGACATTTCATACTTTGCTTTCTTCAAGTTATATTTTGTTTGTTTATTTTTCCTAAAAAATAAAAGAAAAAGAAAAAACAAGCTTTTGATTGCAGAAACATTTCGTTCAATTTCTTTTTAATTTTTATTATATGTACCAGTCCTTTACTTTTTCCCTCACAAGACTAAATTCCCTTTTTTCCCATTTTCCATATAAAAAGGTTTTGAAAAACAATTTTTTCTATATTTCACCTTTTTTATTTTCTGAAATTTTCTCTTGTGATAAAAGTTTTTTTTTTTAAGGTAAATTTACACTTAGTTATGAACATCTTAGTTAACATTCTATTACTCCATAAAGGCCTTTGTTGTTTTTATAAAATTTATTTTTAGAGTCAAAATTTTCTATTTAAATTTTTATCACAAATTATGAAAAGAGATTGAAGCGGAAGGATGTCGGCAACAATCGCAATAGCAACAACTACTGGAATGATGATGATGAAGAAACAAAGATGATTAATGGCTCCAACGTAAACAACAAATAGGTTATTGCGGTTGTATTTGAATTTCCAAATGAGTTTGATTAGATTATATTAACGAAAATTCTGATGGGATAAATTAATTAAAAGTAATTCAAATAAATATAAAGAAGGTAATTTTCTTTGATTAACAGTTTAATAATATATTTTTTACTGATTAATGTTGATGACCTGAATGAACGACACGTGTCGATTATTTTTCTTTCCTTTAATATATACTAGGTGTTAGACCTGTCCGATGGACGGGGAAGACATACACATATAGACATTTTTATATAAATTTTATATTTTTATAAAATATGTAATGATTTCAGTTTTAAACATGATTACCTCTGGATTTACAGAAATTTGTTTATATTTTAAATGACATTTTAAATTCACTAGTGATAAGATTTACGCAGATCTCTCTAAAATTTGTTAGGATTTGGTACTCTCTCCAATCAATCTCTGTGTT